TTTCTCAATATTCAACTGGCTCTTGTATATAAAACTCTTTATGAATTTGTTTCTCTTGTCTACCCAGACTAACACAAGTAGCCTCCATGCCAGTCTGATGCCTCCAGTCTCGGCCTCTATCACTTCAGACAAAGATCTGGGTCATGCTCTTCTGATGGTCCTAAGCTTTCTCTTGGCTTCTACTTCAAACATGACTTATCTTTAAAGCCAGAGGGAGAGGGAGATGTGGCAACAAAAACTGACCAGTCCCCTCTATTAGTGTCACACATGGCCTATTTTCATAGTCCCACCAGGAATTTGATGGAAGTTCCACGTACAGAGTAGAAGCATCATATTAAGAAATTCCACTCCACACAGGATCAGGTCAGTAGGAAGATCTTTTGACACAGTAGTCACAAAGTTGCAGTAGGGCATGCCGGTAGTCATCAGATGATACAAGAAAGGTGATGTTCCATCCTGCTGTACATAAACTCACCATGGCTTGGCATGAACTCAATGGCAACTATCTATTGCTACAAATGAAGATCTGATGCATTTGAATTATGGTGTGGGCAAAAATATCGAACGAGATGGCCACACGAACAACAATAATGAAAATCTGTCTTGGAAGAAGTACAGTCAGAATTTCCCTAGGAACCGAGGCTAGCAAGACTTTGACTTATATACTTTTACAGGTGTTCGGTGGAGATCAGTCCTTGGAAAAGGATATCATGCCTGGTAGCGTGAAGGAAAGCCAGTGAAGGAGAGGAAGACCATCCAGAAGGGTTGACACATGGCTTCAACAATGGACTCATGCGTAACAACAATTGTGAGGAGGATCCAGGACCAGCAGTTTCATTCTGTTGGACATAGGGACTTAGAGGTCCTCCACAAACTATTGCTATAAATGACAGAATAAACCTGAAGCATTTGGTTTTTCAACTGTACACGCTTTGGCCTCATATGAGCCTCTTTAGGCACCAGACAGTCCAAACCGTGAAGAAAGGAACATGGCTGCGACCTTTCCTTCCAACACTGCCAAATTCTAGGGAAAGAAGACTTAGGGAGCCTGATCTTATATCAAGAGTTATCCTGTGATGGGAATGTATTTCTTCAGAAGATACCAGGTACAGAGGGAAACTGTAAATGATGGCTTTTAGTTATAGTCTTTGTGACTTCCACCAAGTGACTGGGTGAGACCATGCAAACAGTGTATGAAACACTAACACGGGGATTGGTCAGCTTTACTATCCCACTAGGTTTTAAATAAGTGAGCCTTCTCTGAGGCAGAAAGGGGGGATCCTCATGACCATCAAGGAAGAAAAGCCAGGAATTAAGTGCCCCAGTTAGGCCCCAAGATCCCTGTGCTGACCCTCTTTGCATAGCAAAGAGCTATGAACCAGAGATGTGGCTGAGAAGCAGTGGTGACAGCACTAAGAACCAAGAGCAAGACAGAGCAGAGTGGGGCTTTCTGGCCCACAGAGCAAGTACAACTGAGTGTCTCCAGGCAGCTGGCTGGCAGGCAGAGTGGGGTTCCTTCATGAACTTCATCTAGGGAGCTAATTTGCCAACCCACAGAGCTAGGGCTGACAGAGCTAAGGGCTGAGACTTATGCCGGAGTGGCATACCCTTTAGGCATTTATGGTGGCACTAAAGGAGCTTTATTACACTTGGCCAAGGGGCTTTGTGGCTGAGAGACTGAGGAGCTGCACCCCTGATCCATAGAATTGCATCCTGAGTATTTCCAATCTGGAACTGTAACCTGTTAACTTCCCTAATAACACCCTTAATTGTAAATGTTGAAAGGAAGTTCCGTGTGGCCATTGCAATACTTTATTGAACACAGCTGAGTAGTATTGAGTGCCTTGGGAAGGACGGGTGGTGTCGGAGCAGGAAAGGGGGGAAGCATGTCGACCTGTGATGCATAGGAGCTGGAATTGACCAAGGGCTGATGCTGACGGTGATTTTCCCCTTCTTCCCTTGGGAAGTTGGAAGTCAACCACTGCCTCTGCCATTTTTGCAGAAATCAAAGGTTTTGTGGGAATCCTGTCCACAAACCATGTCTCCAGGGCCCCTCTCCATACTGAGAACCCTAAACACCCAAGGCTCTTTCCTGGCCTTCCTTTTCTCACTTCCTGTTCTAGCACCTTCATGGGCCACCTCCTCCCAACCAGCACAACATACTATGGCTCTGTGCTGACGTAGCCCTTCCTCAGGGAACTCTTGTGTAGGGTCCACGGGCGACCTGTTACTCTGGACAATTTCCCATATACCTGCACGGCCAGTTCGTGAAAGGTACCAGCTAAGTTCCTGGAAAGTTTAATTTGGTGAATGTGTTGTTCTATTCTCCACAACAATCAATAAAACTTAAAGAAAAATAATAATAATGTTCATATAATATTGCTGTTGTTAGGTGCTGTGGAGTTGGTTTCCGACTCGTGGCGAACCAATGGCGTACACACAGTGTGCCTTTCACCATCCTCACAATTTTTATTTTTGAGCCCATTGATGCCGCCACTAACGAGCGGGTTTTCAAGGCCTTTTGGAAGGAGATCGCCATCAACCTTTTACCTAGTAGCCCAGCGCCGAAACATCTTAGTCACAAGCAAGGGCAAAGGGTTTGTGCAACCCGGAGAGAGACCTTACAGAGAAGCACCTGGACGATTAATTAGCAGGGGCGAGAGCCGTTAAGCCAATAATGCCATTGAGCAGGGAGAGTTTGTTCCAGGCCTGAAACTGGGCAAGCAGAAGAGGGACACAACCTTGGGCCTTTTCTTTCGCGCCGCTCCATCCTCTACGAAGACCCGGAAGGTTTAGATTCTTTCGCAGGATGTGTCGGTCCCAGGCTCTCTCTGCCGCTCTCCGACTCAGGTTCTCCCAGCGCATCGGGGGTCGGAGCCCTGCGCCCAGTCCCGGGGCGGAGCCTGCACACGGCGGGCGGAGCCTTTACGGCGGCGGGCGGAGCCCTGCGCCCAGTCTGGGGCGGAGCCGGCACCCCGCGGGCGGAAGGGCGGGCCTCTGCGCGGAGCTGCGGCGTGTCAGGGTCGGGGTCCAGCCGCCGGTGAGTTGCACTCCCGGCCCCTTGCTCTGCGCCGGGGGTTCCTGAGCCGACTAGGGGGCAGCCAGGCCGGGCCCCCGCCTCCGCGCCTCCCGGGCCGCCCCTCGGCGGAGACTGGGCGGAGGGCGGGAGTAGCGGGCCCCTCGCGGCGCGGGGCTTCGCTCCCCCCTTTCTGGAGGCAGGGCCTTTCTGCTGCTGCTGCTGCACGTCTCGGAAGTAGGGAGGGGCGTGTAGTCATCACCACTTCTTACCGGCGGGAAAGCTTAATTAAGAATTACGAAGGGTCTCTCCCGGACCCCGCACCGCGGTCGATGTTTTTTCCCCTCCCTTCTGTTTATCACTGTGCCTGCCAGCATTTTCCCTGCGGCGCCCCGCGTGGCCCTGACCCCGCCCTCCCGCCTGCGCAGAGAAGGAGCTGGGAGACGCGGCCTTTTAATTGTTGGCCAGTCTCCCTAAAGAAGGTGAACACGCTCTGCCTGTCTCCTTTCAACGTGGCCCACCGGCAAAAGCCATGGACTGGCCGGCCTTAAAAGACAGCTTTTAATGCCTGGGGGCCGGGAAGATGGTCAGGATTTCCCATGACTGTACAAAGCCCCTTCCACTATTAGGGCGTTTGTAGTGGCAACTTGCTCGGTTCTCCGTCCTCATACGTCTGTATACCTAAAGGAAAGCCATTTGTCTAGAGAATTTAGAAACTCTTTAGGGAGGTTTTTCCAGAAGCTTCCCCGCCTGGAAATGATCTAGACCCAAAGAACTGTGGTCTCCCACGGCTCCCTCCAAGCAAACAGTTCTATCACAGTCCCGTCTAGTCCAGTGGTTCTCAACCTTCCTAATGCCTTGACCCTTTCATACAGTTCCTCATGTTGTGGTGACCCCCAACCATAAAATTATTTTCGTTGCGAGTCTCAGGGTGGGGGGCGTGGGGGCATGAAAAAAATTATTTTCATTGCTACTCCCAAATTTAACATAATTAAAACATAGCATAGTGATTAATCACAAAAACAATATGTAAATATATATTGTGAAATATTTATTTCTAAGTACAAATAAATGAAATTGTGTCTTGAAGCCTGGTGTAGCATGGTTAAGTCTTCACACCACCGGGTACTCGTATGTGGGTGTATCTGCATGTGAGCAGACCCACCTGGAGACGAGAGAGGAGTGGTGTCTCAGTTCCTAAGGCCATCTGAAATGTGTTTTCTGATGGTCTTAGGCGTCCCAGGGTCGTTAGACCCCCCAAAGGGGTCATGACCCACAGGTTGAGAACCGGTATTCTAGTACACATAGGATTATCGGGTTAGGGGAAATAAGACCATGCTTCAGCCAACCTAAAGCACCATCAAATTTAAGATTCGCTGTTGGTGAGTGTGAGGAGCTCTTGGTGGTAATGATGGGTTATATTGGGTTGCTGACCTCAAAGGTCAGCAGTTTGAAATCACTAGCTGCTCCACTTCAGAAAACGATACTGTTTGAGAAGGGGCAGTTCTGCTTTGTTCTATAGGGTCACCCTGTGTTGGAATTAATTTGATGGCAATGAATTTGAGTTTTTTCATTTGTTGTATTTATTCCTGGGTAGCACACATTTGCACTCAATTAGTAGCCGAAAGACGGACATTTGAACCCAACCAGTAAGCACCAAGAAAGAGGCCTGGATATCTGTTTGCTGAAAAGTCTTAGGCTTCACAGTGACCCTGTAGCACAGAAAGACGCACTCCATAGGGTTTCTAAGGCTGTGACCTTCGTAGATTAAAGAACAAAGTGCTACTTCAAGGACTGAAGTGAGCTTGATCCAAGCCTTGGTATTTTCAAACAGCTCTAAGCACGTGAAAGCCGGACTGAGTAAGGAAGATTGGACAAGAATAGATGCATTTGAATTAGGATGTTGATGAACAAACAAATCTGGCTTGGAAGAAACACACCTAGCATGCATCTTAGAAGCAAGGATGGCGACTCTTCATCCCATACTTTGGACATGTGATGAGGAGGGAGTGGCCCCTGGAAGAGGGCATCATGCTTGGTAAAGTAGGGGGTCAGCAAAAATGAGGAAGACTTGCTGTAAGGTGGATTGGCACAGTGGTTGCAACAATGGGCCTAAAACTAAGGATTGTAGGCTGACGCTGGACCAAGGAAAGCTTTATTCTGTTGTATATAGGGTTGCTATGTCTTGGAACAGACTCGATGGCACCAACAATTTAGTCTTGGGCTATTGAGATGTTTGCTGGGTAAACCGAACCATGGTAACAGAACTGCTGACCAGGCCAACCTGGCTCTTATCACTCACATTCCTTATGTGCTAAAAACAAAAACAAAAAAAACCACCCAGGTGGAAACCACTCAGATACAAATCTCTGAAATGCTTCAGTCAGTCAACTTTTGGGTGGTTTGGAGCAAGGCCAGCGTCACACTTGAGGAGTTAAGTCAACCACAGTGATGCTTTTACTCATTCAAGGGTCACTAACCGTATTTGAGCTGGACATGGTTGGGCCAGGGATGGTTCAGTGATAGGTCCCCACCCCCTTTTCATGCCGGAGATCAATTCCTGGCCAGTGCCCCTCAGGTTCACTATCACCAACCTTCCAGTGGAGGCTTGGATGGTGCTTTGATGCTGAACAGGTTCAGCAGAGCTTTCAGACTAAGATGGATTAGGAAGATAGGCCTGGTGATCTCCGGATCTGCAAACAAAATCCCCAAACTCACTGCCATCTACTCAATTCTGGCTCATGGTAGGGTAGGGTAGAACTGCCCCTTTGGATTTCTGAGACTGTAACTCCTTACAGGAGTAGAAAGCTTCATCTTTCATCTTCATAGGAGCTGGTGATTTTGAACTGCTGACCTCTAGGTTAGCAGCCCAGCATGTAACCACTACACCATCAGGGCTCCTTCTAGATCTATAAGGGGGCTTCAAAAGGTTCAGGGAAACATTTCATCCCATTTCATTTCCCACAAACTTAAAAGCCCTGTTGTAATTCTGACAATCAGCCTCATCTTTCACCTAATGAGTGGCTGGTGGCTTTGAACTGCTGACCTTGCAATTAGCAGCCCAATGGGTAACCACTATGCCACCAGGACTCCTCAAAGTGGGATGGAGGGAGTGGGCCTAAACCAGCAGTGGGTTGTGAAAGGTTGGAGACAGAGGCGCAGAACAGAGAGAGAATTTAGCCAGGAATGTGAAGTTGAGAAAGATTTTATTGAGACAAGGAAAGAACTGCTGGGAGGGAAGGGAGAGCAGGGAAAGGGACGGGGCTCAGGTTCTGAGACCCAAGGAGTTAGGTCAGGGAAGTCGCACCTGGTACTGGGGCGCCGGGACATATATAGGGTATGAGCTTAAAGGCATATGAGCCGGTAAGGGGAAGGGAGGTTCTTTGTGCTGTGGTTGCAAGTCTTGGGCCAGGTGACGTCCTGTCAGTAAATCATGTTGTTCCTAGAAAACAATGCTAGGGAGAGGGGCGCTGTGTTCTGTCCGGGGAGGTCATCTTGTCCTTAAGGAAACAGTGCTAGGAAGAGGGGCCTATGATCTGTCCGGGCGGTCATCTTGTTCTTAGGAAACAATGCTAGGGAGAAGGGGGCTGTGCTCTGTCTGGGGAGGTAAGCTCTGTGAAACGCTGAAGGCAGGTGCTTTGAAATTCAGCCAGGTCATTTGTCTTCTCGAGAAGCTGGTACAAGGGGCTGCCTTGGTCCATACCGAGCCCAAACACCCCAAACTCTTAATAATAGTGATGATCAGCATTGTGATCTATCATAAACTACTTCCTGCTGAGGTCAGGTGATGAGGTGGGGGAAAATTAAGAGCTGCGAAGCTTGGGGCCCAGGCCAGTGGGCAGCAGATTATAAGGGTGAAGTAAAAGCTGGTTGAAGGTCAGGTTGGAGATGGCTTTTATCTGTTCTTGCAGAAGTTTAAACGCACAGGGAGCTAAAAGTAATAGGACACAGATTATTATCAGAGGCTCATCAAGGGGCATAACACAGGCCGTGACAGGACTTTGAAACCATGAGGAGAGGCTGGTGGTGCTCCACTGACATTTTCTGATTTTATCGGCCATGGTGCAGAGTACTTTAGCGTTTTATTTAACCACTTCCGACTTACTCATATAGTGTACGTACCCTTTTTGTTAGCTGTTTACAGATTTAATGCACAGCGGTTTTGAAGGGTTGCCTGTGCCAGGAATATAAGTTGTTGTTGCAAGGAGGTGAGAGACTTTGAGTTTATGACCGGCTTGAGTTGTTTGTTAAAGTTCTATGTTTGGATATGCTGTGCCCTAATGGGTGAGTGTGCAGTCGTGGGCATGAGGATGCATGAACATAAGTGACTGAGTTTGTATTACTGAGTGTGAGAGGGCATATGGGCATGTAAGTGTGTGCAGGCATGTGTACGGAATGTAAGTGAATGTTGTATGATCAGTGAACATAGGAGTGTAAGAATGAGCTGGTGTATTAACAGCTATATTATGTCTGCAAACTTTATGTAGAGGAAAGCCATTAACAAATAAAGTTAGATCTGGCTTAGGATAAAGTTGATTGGAGAGTTTGGGTTGGGGCATTGTTAGCTCCTCAGTTGCCTGGGGGCAGGAGTGACTGCTAGGCTCCTACAAGTTTAGGAGTTGAGGCAAGACAGTTGCCGGGTTTAAAGAGGGAGCCTGGCACAGGGTTATGTTAGGGTTTTTGATAAACATAAGGTGGATTTCCTGTAAGCGGTTTAGGGACAGCAGAGACAAGACTTGCTGTGAGAGGAGGTTCTGCAGCTTGTGGGTAGATAATGTTTGGATAGGCTTTCCCAGGGTAAGTTTGAGAGTTTTTAGTAAGGGTGGCAGCTGCTGCCAGGGCCCAGAGGCACGGCTGCCAGCCTCTGACTCATATTTAACTGGACAGATAAGCTATTGGAGAGTGGGTGGGGCCCAAGGGCTGAGTTAGGACTGTAGCTGCTATGCCCTCCCTTTTATCCGTGTAGCGAAAAAGGGGGTTATTAGGGTTTGGTAAATGTAAAGGCGGAGACTGGAAGAGAGTTTGTTAAAAGGCTGCTCTGGTTAATTGGGGAGAATTAAGGGGGCCAACAGGAGTGGCCTTACCGGCTTCATAAAGAGGTTTAGCTAACAAGGAGAAGTTAGGAATCCAATGTCTGAAAAGTCCCACAAAGCCTAAGAAGGGAAGTATTTGGTCTGCAGTTCCTGGGGCTCAGAGCTCCCCTACCACCCGGCAGCGGTCTGCTGTAAGTCCCCGGGTGATAGGGGTGAGCTGCAGGCCCAAGTAGGTGACAGCTGTGCATGTGAGCTGGGCCTTAGCCCTTGAGACCCTATAGCCTTTAGAAGTTAGGAGGTTTAAGAGTTGGGCTGTATGCTCCAACAAACTGGTTTTGGTGGGGCTACACAGCAGGAGGTTATCCACATACTGTAGCAAGGTGGACAGCGAGACAGGACAGTTTCACAGGTCTGTGGCCAGTGTTTGGCTGAAAATATGCCCCAAATCTCAGAACTCCTGGGGAAGGACGCTCCAGGAATATTGGGAGGTACTACTGGTGTCTGGGTTTTCCCAAGTGAAGGCGAACAAAAACTGGCAGGCAGGGTCTAGCGGGATTGTACAGTAAGCACCTTTCAGGCTGAGTATGGTGAAATGGGTGGTGTTAGGTGGAATATGGGACAGAAGAGTGTAGGGGTTAGGGACTATGGGATGGATAGGGACTACTGATTTGTTAATAAGGCGCAAATGTTGTACTAGGCGGTAGGACCCGTTTGCTTTTTTGACTGGCAAGAGAGGGGTGCTGCACAGAGAGTGTGCAGGCATAATGATTTGGTTATCTAGAAGGTGTTGAATAATAGGTTTCAGGCCCCTATGGTGGGTGAGGGAGATTGAGAACCGGGGACAAGAAGGGAAAGTGGAGGGGTTTTTGTGGCGATAAAAACGGGTGTTTTGCAACAACTGGTCTGGAAGTGTCCCACACTTCCAGGTTTATGTAGCGTGGCAGCGGAGAAGAGGAGGGTGCGGGTGGTGGCTCAATGGTGGAAAGCGAGAAAAAAAAGGATATTGGGGAAGAAGTGGGTAGGAAATGGTTCCACTGGAGACTAACTCCCAGCTTGGAAGGGAGTTCCCTACCCAGTAACAGTGCAGGGCATGAAGGCATTGTTAGGAAGGAATGAGAAGGGGTGGGGGTGGGGGTTCCCTACATTTAGAAACAAAGATGAGTTTACTAAGGGTTGTGAGGGCTTGCTGTCTATACCCACAACTATGACCAGGGAAGGCGACATAGGGCCCGAGAAGGAAGGGAGAACTGAGAAGGCACCTCCTGTGTCCCCGAAAAAGAGACTGGCTTGCCCGCTACTTTGATTGCCACTCGAGACTCAGTGAGGGTTACTGGGATCATTGAGTCTGGGTGCCTTCAGTCACTGTTGGTGGCCAGGCTCAGCAGTGCCAACAGTAGGTCGGGGTTCAGAGGGACCGTCTCTCCACGGCTAGGTGCCGAGGGACAGTCGCTTCTCCAATGGCCCTGCTGACCTCACACTGGGTAAGGCTTCTGGGTGGTTGGGACTGCAGGCAGTGCTTAGCTCAATGCCCCTCCTGGCAATACTTAAAGCAAGGTCCAGGCAGCGGGCGGTTAGAAGCCTGGTTCTAAACCGAATACATCGTTGTTTCCTGATGTATTCGGACCCCTTCCTCCAGCTGGCCTCAGAGCGGCAATCAAAGCCTGGGCCCGCCAGCAAGCCTACTGGTGTGCTCAGGACTCATGCACTACCTCAGCCCTCTCCTCCCAGCCGTTAAAAACTTTAGATGCCATGTTTACCATGTCACGGATGGGGGCCCGAGGGCCACCCTCGGCCTTTTTAAGCTTTTTTTTAAAATTAATAGCTGACTGAGTTATAAAATGATTGGCTAAACAGTAGCTTCTGCTGGAGAGGCAGGTGTCTAACCTAGTGTGCTGGGCTAAGGCCTTAGTCAAGCATGAAAGAAAAGCCTGGGGTTTTTATCTGGCTGCCAAGTAACCTCTTGCAGCTTGTCAAAGCTAACTGCTTTATGAGAGATGGCCTGCAGGCTGGCCAGCAAGCAGCGATCATGCGACCTCAGCTAGCCTTGCCTTCTTGTCCAGCTTGGCTATCTGTTTGATAAGTCCAAGCTGGCTCCTCCCTAGGAGCTGCCTGAGGGCCTACGGGCATGGTGGCATCTGTGAGGTGGGCCTGGTCTGCAAGCTGCCGGGCAGCTGTAGAGACCCGCTCCCGCTCCTCAAGGGTGAGGGTAGAAGTGAGGACTGTATAAAGTTCATGCCAGGTTAAGTCATAAGCTTGGGTGAGATATCGGAACTCCTTAATATAGGTAGTTAGGGTCCTGTGAGAAAATACCCAGCCGCTTCTTACAGAGGCTGCGACCGAGGGGCTTGGGAGGCTGCCGTGTTGCTTCACGGGAGGCTGAGTAGGGAGGGAGCCAGGAAGGGGAGGGAGAGAGAGACTCCGGGGGGTCCAGTGGTTTGGCTTTGGGGAGGGGACGGGTGTCGGAGGCACAGTCACCTCAGTCTTTGGGAGTGCCTGTGCTGGGAATTGAGCCAAAAGCACTTGTGTGGGTTGGCAAAAGATGCAAAGAGGGATGGGAGTGCAGAAAAAAAGAAAAGCCTGGACGTATGGCATCTTAGACCATTTTTGGGTTTGATGACAGAAGTTGTTGAGGTTGCGGAGAATATTGAAATTGAAAGTACCATTTTCTGTCCAGCGTGACCTGTTGTCTAATTGGTATTGTAGCCACACTTGCTTACAGAAGAAGACCAGACACTTAGGGCCAATGTCCGGAGCCAGGACCAGTTCAGTGAGATTGGTCAGGAGGCATCCCAAGGGACTGTACCTGAGAGGCTTAGAGAGTGAGCTTCCCATGGTGTCAAACTGCAAGGGGTATGGTCAGAGGAGAAGGCTGTCTCCTGGCCCCTGTCCGCATCCATCAGTCAGGAGGTGGCCCAGTTACCCTGAGAGGCGTACTGGTCAGAGTTGGCCCAGTGGGAGAGTCCTGGACTCCCTGGAACAGGAAGGTTCCCTGATGCAGGCCTGCGGCTTAACTGGCAGACAGGGACCTTGGGTCAGTGACAGTGAAAGACACCGCAGGAAGCTAGGGAAGAGAAGGGAAGGGGCCTGGCTTTGTGGCCGACTAAATGGACGGCTGTTGGAGGCCTTCTTTCAGGAGGGAGCGGATTTTAGATAAGGTCTGAGAGCAGGCACCACAGAACTGCTAGGGAGAAGGAGGTAGTAGATTTTAGAGTAAGTCAGACACCAGGCACCGCAGAACTGCCAGCACAAAGCACACAAACAGGTAGAAGAAGCTCAGACTCACCTTTCGCATTCCAGCCCGGTTACAAGGTGCAGTGACTGCCAGACCCAGTGGCAGGAATCCCAGGACACAAATACAGAGACAAAAGGCTGTAGGCCACATGAGAGGGAAGATAGATACAGAGAAAAGGTGGACATGAGAAACTGGCCTTATCGTTGCACCCCTCACAGGAAAAGGCAGTTATTTCCAGCTCCTCTTGGTACTAGGGTAGCAGAATAAACCCCTGCATTGGCACCACATTCCGCCTTCTAGTGTACTTGCTTGGTGGCTTTTCAGCTAGTTAGCCGTCCGTGGACCCTGTGTTCCAGTTTGCTGGTCCTCAGTGTCCAGAAAGACAAACCAGACAAACGAAAGGAATACTTACCTGGCAGGGGAGATACCCTGATCATGAAGGTGGTTTTCCTAGGGCGAGGCATATCCATTGCATTCTGGATGTGCTGACCCCTGCGATTTCCCCAAATGTGGGAAACTTGACTGCATAGTTTGTGGTAGTGGGGGACGGCATCTGCGTACTCTTCTATTAAAAAAAAAAGACAAACGAGAGGAAACAAACGTGCACAGAAATACTGAAGGGAAAAGCACTTGTACAGGCAGGCTTCAGAGGTCCGTGAAAGTGGAGGATGGGGCTGCTCACTGGCCAGAGGGAGGCTGGGTGGGGATGGGGGCGGGCACAGAAGCCCCTCTTGCTGCTCCTGGGTTTTGGCACCAAGATGAAAGGTTGGAGATGGAGGCACAGAACAGAGATAGAATTTAGCGAATGTGAAGTTGAGAAAGATTTTATTGAGGCAGGGGAAGAACTCCTGGGAAGGAAGGGAGAGCAGGGAAAGGGACAGGGGCTCAGGATCTGAGACCCAAGGAGTTAGGTCAGGGAAGTTGCACCTGGTACTGGGGCGGCGGGTCATACATAGAGTATTTACTTAAAGGCATATGAGCCGGTAAGGGGAAGGGAGGTTCTTTGTGCTGTGGTTGCAAGTCTTGGGCCAGGTGACATATTGTCAGTAAATCATGTTGTTCTTAGGAAACAGTGCTAGGGAGAGGGGGGCTGTGTTCTGTCCCGGAAGGTCATCTTGTTCTTAGGAAACAATGCGGGGGAGAAGGGGACTGTGTTCTGTCTCCGGAGGTAAGCTCTGTGAAATGCTGAAGGCAGGAGCTTTGAAATTCAGCCAGGTCATTTGTCTTCTCAAGAAGCTGGTACAAGGGGCTGCTTTGGTCCGGACCCAGCCCAAACAGGTTGCAGTGATTGTTGGAGGAGTGGGGCCAGATACAGAAGACCTGGAGATGCCTTTGGAGCCCAGCAATCGGGGCAAATATCAGGTGGCGGCGGTGGCAGCTGTTTTGGGTTGAAGGCAAGGGCCCCCATGATAATGGTGTGTGGCACATATTTGTTGAAACAAGAAAGGCAGGAGCAGTCTGGCAAGGAACCATTTACTAAGGACTTCTGGGAAGCTGGCTCGTACTTTGTGGCAGCTCTGCCCTCTGTCTCTGGCCTCACCTCCCTTTCCTGATTATATGTGCTTTTCAAGTGGAGGGCAAACAATGCAATGAAAAATTACTGTTTCAAGATTTGAACCTTCTGTCAAAAATCCTAAGGAATGATTAAGTTGGTGACCTTTCTCTCTCCCACCCCACCCCTGCCCCCAGGGATGCCTGAAGGGCCATCTGTGAGGAAGTTTCACCATTTGGTCTCCCCCTTTGTGGGGCAGCAGGTAGTCAAGACCGGGGGCAGCAGTAAGAAGCTCCACCCTGCTGAGCTGCAGTCCCTCTGGCTCCAAGACACCCAGGTGAGTGGATTGGCATTGTTGGGCTTGTTCCAGTACCTCGTGTACCTGCTGTGGACCTCTCAGCAGGGCCTTGTGCTGTTCCTGGAATTGGTCCCAAGACTTCTCATGAGCCCACTCCCGTGTGCTCAAGACGAGAGGACATCACGCAGCGCTCCCAGCAGTAGAGCATTTCTCAACCTGAGTAGGCATCTCGGAAGCCTGTGGCGCAATGGAGCCACATACACCTGAGCAGGAGATGCTGCTTGAGGGGTCTGGCCGGGGGCTCTCACTCCAGGTGATAGCATTGGTGAGAATGGCGTGAAGGCAAGGAAAGTGAAGTCTCCATTCTGTGTTCCAACTCAGCGGATCTTTTTCGTGAGCATACTTTCAAGGGCTCTTCGTGAGCTGCCTCCTGCCTCCCTCTCTACCCTTCCTCTGGTGAGATGCCATCAAGTCTGTTCGAATTCTCAGTGGCCTTGTCTGACAGAGTAGAGCTTGCCCATAGAATTTGCTTGGTTGTAATGGTTCCGGGGGGTCAGTCCCCAGGTCTTTGTCTCACAGAGCCCCTGGAGGGTTCCAGTCACCAACGCTCTGGACAGCAGCTGAGCGTTTAACTGTTGGGCCACCAGGGCTCCTTAGCTGTAGCCCTACCCTGTCACCAAACCGAAAACCTAGCTCCTGCTGACTCCTAGCGACCCCAGGAGACAGGAGAACTGCCCCTGGGAGTTTCCGAGATTACCTCCGTATGGGAGTCGACCGCCCTGTCTTCTGTTTGGGGTCTGGGCTTTCTTTAGAGAGTGGGATTGCCGGATCAAGGGGTATTTCTTGTTGCATCTTTTTAAGGGGGTGTCATCCTGGTTTCCAGGATGGACACATCATTTTCCAGTCCTGGCAGTGGTGGAGGAGACTTCCAAACACTCCCCACCCTCTCCAGCAAATTTTTTCATCTTTGTCTTAATGCGGGGTGAAATGATATATCTCGTTGTTTTGATTTGCACCTCCCTAATGGCTAATGATCATGCATTTGGGGCCATATGAATGTCTTCATTGGTAAAGTATCTGTTCATGTCCTCTGCCCATTTTTAAATTGGATTATTTGGCTTTCTCCTGTGGAGGTGTTAACATTGTGTATACTTTCTTTAGATGAGTCTTGCCACCAAATATTTTTCCCAATCTATAGGCTTTTTTTTTGGGGGGGGTGTTAGTTTTTTGACGTATATTTAATTTTTAGAAAGTTCCAGTTGTCTAGTCTTCTGCTTGTGTTTTTTTTTGGAGGGGGGGGCATTTAAAGTCTTTTATTTTTTATTTACTTAAATAGTTTTATTGTATTTGTGCTTTCTCGGTTGTATTCGATAGTGCACTAATGTCATAAATTAGGACTCCTTAGTTTGCCACTATTTTTTGGATGATCTATATAGTTTTAGGTTTTCACATTCAGGTGAATTTGGCCTTTTTGTTGAAGATCAGCTGTCGGTGAATGGATTGACTTCTGGGTTCTCAGTTGTGCCCCATTGGTCTATGTGTCTGTAAATGTGCCAGAGCCTGGCTGCCTTGGCCATCATAGCTGTAAAGCAAGCACGTTTGCAAGTCAAGAAGTATAGATGTCCCGCTTTGTTCTTCAGACTTGCTTTGCTGATCTTAGATCTCTAGATCTCTTCCTCCCCTCTCCCCCACCCCACCCCCCACCCCTCACCCCCGCAAAGTGAGTGATTGCTCCTCTTCCCTTTAACTGTTGAATTCCGAGAGGGAAAGATTAGAGATTTACTTCACTGTTGACCTCCCAGAGGCTGCCAAGTAAATAGTGTAATACATTGTCTGATCTCATTTAATGATTGGCGAGTGAATTAACGTGAACCTCAGTGTCACAGGAACTTGAAAAAGAGATAATAGAAATGACCATAGTTGGAAAGGGTTCAAAGCCATTTTGGCCCATTCATCCTTGACCTGGTACATGTGTCAACCCTGAGGAACAGTAGATAGGCATTTTCATCAGAATTATACTAACCTAGCTGAATTTGCATCAAGAAACTATTTTCTGGAGAAAATTGTATTTCTACCTAATTCCTTGCTCACTTTTTAACCCTTTTATTGACCCATAATTCATCTAACATACAAATCAGTGGCTTTTACATATTTAAAAGAGTTGTGCCATCATCACCACAATCAATGATAGAACATTTTCTTCATTCTTGTACCTATTATTATTAGCTCTCATTACTCCCCCACTTCCCCTGCCATAGTCCTAAGAATCTAGTAATCTGGTGACTGTCTCTATAGATTTACTATCCTGGATTTCCTATAAAGAAAATCATACCCAAAAAAACCCAACAACAAAATAAAGCACAAAAATAACCTCAGTCCAAGAGAAAGCAAAAGATAGTAGAAACTAAATCAAATGAAAAATGGGTCTGAAAGGAAAACAAATAATAACTGTATCTGCAGCAATCCATTTTCCAATTTATTTTGTTTGGTGGCAAGACGGGCACATCCTGGTCAGTCCTCATTGCCATCACTCAGTGCTGGCTCACAGCCCCAGGGAGTTTCTGAGAATAAGTTTTCTTTTTTTATCATTTTATCTGGTTTGTACAGCTCTTATCACAATCCGTAATCCGTCCATTGTTTCAAGCACATTTCTACATATGTTGCCATCATTTTCAAACATTTTCTTTCTACTTGAGCTGTTGGTACTGTTAGATCTCTCTGGAGCTAGATTTATACCTCGGTCCATGGCTCCACGCGAGAAATAATTCACGCTGAAGCCTGGTTCGTGATCGAAGTGAGTTTTATGAAGGTTAGAAGTTTCAGGTTTACACCGCACCCAAGGGGCTCCTCCCGGACATGCGGCCTGGCTGGAAGCGGCTTGGCGTCCCGCAAAGCGTCCCAAAGTTCCGCCAAAGCTCTCTGCGCCTAAGTTCTCTCTCCCCGACTCCGGGCTTCTGCCTTTTCAAGGATTCCAGGGAGAGGCGTGGTGGAAGACCCCTGATCGACCCCATTGGCTGAATTGAATTCACCTGGCTAGGTGAGCCAATTCAAGTTCACGCCCACCCCAACCTACCTGCGGGAACCCTGAGCATGTGCAGTGCGCCACGCCTTTGTTTCCCTAGCTTGGCCCTCTGGGCATGCGTTAATGGACATTCCCAGCCCTTTGCTAACCTACCCAACAGTATCAGCTCCCCGACCCTCCCTCCCTTATGAACCCTTGATAATTTACA